CGTATCTTGAGTGTAGATTTGTCGTCTTTCGAAAAATTCCCAAAGTTCATCCAATGGGAATAATCAGATTGAATTTTCATTAAGTTTTCCAATAAAACAAATGTTTCTTCGAATTTAGTTGAGTTTGATCACACTTTCGGTGTGCACGTCTTTTTTTCTTTACTTCGTTTCGGTTTTTGCAAGTAATCGAATGTCATTTAATGCTTTTGAACGGAAATGCCCTGCCCAGTTTTTTTTTAAGTTCATAATGATTTCTTCTCCGTTTCGACCACAAATTGAGCCCGTTTTCTTCGTGGTGCTTACGAGAAATTCTATGCTACTCTTCACCTCTGAATAAGCCGCGTAAATTTTTATTTCCCCACGAACACTTTGCACGCAAGTCGAAATCTCGGGATTAACAACAGAAAAAAAAATCGACAGGGAATAAGAACAAACTTGTTAAAACAATGGAATGAAAATGGCACAAATGCCGTATCATTCTTATGATAGTACTTAAATTGTGATGTATATTCGGATGCTAAATGAACGCAGGAGACGGCGACGACAAGAAGGCGATATAGGGTGTGTGTGTGAGAGAGTGAGAGAGATGGGCCAGAGAGAAATCGAGCAAAAAGTGGCAACGAATAAATGCTTGAACGAGGGAATTATCTGCTTAACCTCATAGTCTACTCTCGACCGATGTTCGACGGTCGCTTCGGTACATCAGATACACAACGAAATTTACTTTGGGAGCGAGAGAAAGAGAGACTTACAAATATCTTGTGTATATCTTTTGGCTCGAAAATACGGTCTCGCGCCATCGTGCGTCACATTGTATACAGAGCCGGTATTATCTATTTTAATCTATTATTTTGTGGAAGAAGAAGAAACAAGAGCCAGTTCAGCGTTGGCATCAATTCGCTGTTGGTTGGTTGGTTGGTGTGTGTGTGAGTTCGTGTGAACGAAAGATGTGCAATAGTATTTGCGGCGTTAAAATACGATTCATTGCTGATGGCATCGCTGATTAAATATGTTCTCTAAATGGTTTGGAAGAGAGTTTTGCTAGTAGCCATTTGATTTCAGACAATGTCGCTTTTTCGTTCACTCTCCGTCCCTGTCTTTCTCTGTATCGACTCATCTCTTTTTGGCGCGGTTTTTTTTCTCTCTCATCTGTTTAGTCGTTTGTTTGATATTGGTTTGGGTGAGTTTATTTTCGGTGCTCTCCACTTCGAAAGTAGTTTGCAATACGATCCATATTATTGTGCTTGAGATGTTGACAGTTATTGCGCACATAATCTAAATTTTATTTTTTTATATCACTCTTTAAGTACTTCATCTCTGTGCACGATGTTTGTTTGCACTCGCGAGCGAACAGTTTCATTCGCAAAAGCTCTCTCTATCTCCCCTTTTTGACTTGATTGTGCAATGCATGAAGTTGCTGTACAAGCCGTAAAAACAAAAGATATACGACCGAAGCGAACACAAAACACAACACGAAACATATATGATTGCGACTTTTCGTCGCTCTAAGTCGAGAAATAAGCGAATAAATTCGCTTGTTTTAAGTGATGCGAAATGATTGCCATATAATGTGGATGTGCTCTTGAGCATGAGCATTTCGGAATTTATTGTTTGCTTCTTGCTGTTGTTGGTGGTGCGCGCAGCACTCGTTCGATTATGGAACGAGGGCCAACGAGCAACGGTTATCAAATGCATACATAAAATCCCATCAAGTGAATAGCTAAACGGAAAATTGAAAATCTTCGAATGAATTCGCTTCTTCCCTTCAGACTTGAGTCAATATAATTTTCGAGCATTTGTGCAGTTAAAATCCATGCCATGTAGGGAGAGAGCAAGCGAGTGAGCGAGCGAGAGAGTCGACGAAAGAGCAAGCGTACGAGCGAGCGGTTCATTGTCTCGTTCATCGATGTCATCGCCAAAGTTAACGACAACGATGACAATTCGTTTCGTATTGTAACATCCGATACAGGGAAACGATAAAACTTTCTCTGTCTCACTTCGTTCGCTCGCTTGGCTCTTTATTGGCATATGCTTTAGCATTCACACAACTTTGATAAGATACGTTGCATTTTCGTTTGATATCGAAACAGATTTCGGGACTTGAGCTACGAACTGGTTGTAAATCAAAAAAATCCTCGACAAAAAAGTTCAATTTACTCAACGACCGCATAAAAATGATATTCTTTCACTCTCTTTCTCTCTCGTTGTGTTTTTTTTCCTTTGGAGAATTGAAAGTTGAATTGCGCCATCGAAAATGTAAATCTATGACTTTAGCTCGATTTTCGAATGCAAGTTGTTCAGCACTTGACAAATATTTCCGTTGCGCTTTCACTCGATATTTGCTTAAGAGAAAGAGAAAAATCCACATCGACGACAAACTGAAAAATCGATTCCTTTTTCTACGCTCTCACACTTTCTCTCTTTGCTAAAATCTCAAACTTTCTCTGTACGATGTGTTTGTGTGGGTGTATTTTTTTTACTCTTGTCACACATAGAATAACTCGTTGTTGAAAAGCTTAATGAACCATATTATGCTCCTTACTTTACTCCATCTATGATTCTGTTTTTCATTCCATCCATTCCACATTTACCACATTCTATTACTGTGACTCGAGTTGCTTTCTTTTTTATTTTGTCGCTGCTGCGGCTATGAAACTCGAATCAACGATACAGGTCGCATTAGGCGACATTCTTTTCACTGTGCTCGCATACAATTCCATAATATATGTAAAGTTTTGTTCGGTAATTAAATTCTATAGCTTTTATTTGCTCAATGAGCATGAACGACATGCAATGAACCAAAGCATTGCTTTACGGAAGGAATAGAAGAAGAAGAAGTAAGGGAAACAAAATCATAACTGCAAATATCAAGTCATTTTCGAGAATCGTAACAATAATTCTCAGAGCCAGAGAATGAAGGTATATGAACTGTGTCTTTTGAAAGAAAACTATAGGAAGAAATGAAGCTTATGCGCAAGTAAAAAAATCGAATGCAAATTGTATCGAGAAATTATATGTGAATTGAAAAAGGTGAGCAGAATTTCTTTCTGCCAATCATTTCTGAGAAACGTAGATATTTCAATGAATCACTTTTGGTTTTGTAGTAAGGCATTCAACTCGGCTAAAATTAACTTGAGAAGCCATTACACGGGCAGCAATATAAACAACCATCGATGATATCTTTATTCAGATGGTAAAAATAGCTACGCTACAGCAATGCGGCATTTTGATAATTGAAATATCAATTGATATGATTATTTTTAAATGAAAATCCATTAAGTATTGTGAATGCAAAAAATGCTAAAAATAGAAGCGAAAAATCCGACTCGGATGTGATCGAACATGGTTTTCATCTTTTAGATGCCAAATTATGCATAATTCCAACTGAAAACTGAAACTTGTACCCCAAAAAAATGAATTCCTTACAACAAAGTGAAACTCAAGCTTTTCGCTCATTTTATCGCACAACTAACACACAAACATTTCGCTTATTTATTATCTTGAAAAAGTTTTGTTTCAACGACAATTTCTTAACCAAAGAATGCTGTTAGCATGAAAATGTACAATTCTATTATGAAATCCCATCTGATGATTCGTATGCAAAAGCATTTTGCTATCATCACCATCAACACATGCAATTCAGTCAAAATGTACACATATGCAAACAAAGTGAGCGAGAACTGTTTTTAATTATCATTTGAATAGTTTCAGAGAAGACATTTGTCAAGGAAAAATGGGACAAGTTATGCAAGTGCTGTGACCTCAAATCCAAAGCAATATGTGCCTGCTCTTCACCGAACAATACGACTAAAATGTTGAAATGTGCATTATATGATGTCTGAAACAATGTAGTTAAAATGTTCTTCTGTCATCATGGAGATGATGGTCAAACGGCGAAACAATGCGATATTCCAAAAGTTGTTGATTGCAATACTGTCATTGCATTCCTTGAGGCGATGCTCAAGTGGCAGGTGACACAATCGCTCAATATAACCATTTCCTTGAATTTATAATCCCTTTACCAAGATATAGCAGCTCGAATAACTTGTGATTGACACCATTTTCCATCGTTTGGCCAAGATAAACTCTGAACATTTTATCGGATATTATGTGTCTGGTTTTTTCCTCTTCAACACGTACATTTGTGTGCCCATGGCACAGGCATTTCAAACTGTATGAAAATGCCAGCGCGTTGAACTTTAAGTTTGAATAATGAACTGATTGTTTGCGTAAGTGCACATAAAAACATTGTCTAAAGCTTTTTCGGCAGGCGAAATGATTGCAGTTGCTCATAATGTTGTCGGGTTCGGTATGTGTGTGTGTTGGTTGCCGTTCCAGCAATTAGGGAGCAGTATGACTGGCGGAAAGGGAGCAACTGCGTGGAAAAAAGAGAGAATGAGAGCATGCAGGAAACGAATCTCTCTCGCTCTCGCTCATCATGCAGTGTGCATGAAAGTGGATGTGACATGACACGAATTTGGCTCATAACTTATGCAAAAGAATCAACTTAAACAAGTTTGGGCTAATTAAGCAAAAAGCTTTCTACTATCCTTCCAGAACGTTTTGTTTCTTCTTCTTATTTTGAGCAGAGAAACTCTTTACTGCATGGAATTCCGAACTATGTGTGTGCGAAAGAAAGAGCGGGCGCACATAAGCATATATGCGTTTGAATGGGTTGTAAATTTTTAAAAGCGAAACGATAATAATTGAGATAGCATTTTTCTCTGGTTCAGCTTATTTAAGGAGAATCCCAGTGACTTTGTTGCTAAATCTATGTCATGCACACACACACACAAAATTTGCACGAACTTTTTCTTCAGAACTGTTTTTGCATCGCAAAAGCAAGGAATTATTTATTCAGATGCTTGATTTCCATTTCAGCGTACGTTTTTTTTTCTTCCTTCGTTCGCAGTATTCTCGTTCGAATGAATATCTTCGCTTGACTTAATCAAATTAAACTCATTTTTCAATCATTCTCCCTTTTTCCCGTTTTTTTTTAGCTTTGACGTACGCGGACGGCCTTTGAATGATGCTCAACACTGGTCAGCACCGGAGACATTTGGGTCACGGGCTCGTTTCAATGCAGACGTAGATCCGGCAACATTGGATATCAAGGTAGGTTCATCCGGTTCGTTGTCATTCGAGCTAGGTCTTAATGTAAAGCGCTCAACGTGACGAAAATATTCTTTCTGCACACGGATAATCTGCACTCAAGGAGATTCGTTGGTGCGGAAGGAGCAGAAGAAATAGAAACCGTAGAATGCAAATTTTGAACGCGATTCGCTGTAAATGAAATTGAGCCAAGTGCCTTCCATCTCAGCTAAAATAGAAAACTACGTGCTAGATGAAATAAGGCGGATTTTAATAGAGAATACGGTTCATAAGTAGGGTATTGAGGATAAATATTGATGGAAGCTTGAAAAAAAGTGAACGAATGAGAACGAAAATGAGATTGAGGCAAGTAGATCGGAAGCATAAATTATGAGAGAGAGAGAGAGAGAGAGAGAGAGAGAGAGAGAGAGAGGGAGAAGAAAAAACTAAATACGAAATAAGTTGCAGCAATTTGCTATTATAGGGATGAAGTGAGAATGGGAGATAGCGGGATGCATTAAAAATAGAAAATGTCTGCTATTGATATGTAGTTCATCTTGAGTTTTCATCTCTCGCAATCAATTTCTATCCCGTCCACACTTTGCGAAGCGCATCGCAATCGAATTATTATAAAATTTATGATTTAATTAATAAAACTGGAAATAATTGCAATCATTGCAACCAGTATTTTTTGAGTGGAAAGAAGCGATAAATTAAAAGCTCAAGTTTCCTCGGATACTTTTCTTCGAATTGATTAACGCAGTTCCAACTTGAAACTTCGCATCGAATCAATATAATGAATGTGGTTTCAATTCGAACGAAATAATGTATGTTTGTGTTAATGAATGGAATTATATATTCATTACATTTCGACAGAAATGTAAACAAAGTTTCAAGTATAAGAGTGTTTGCAGTTAGATGTATGATGTGCAATGACAGCAGCAGCAAAATCAGAAGCAGTAGCAGTAGCACTAATTGAGAAATTCTCCATTTCATCCGGCGATTCGAAGAATTGCTTTTTCATTGAAAATGGTTCAATCATCAACTTTTTAGTGGCATTTATTATTATTGACGGGACAAAAAAAAAAATCAATTTCAAAAAAGGGTTCATCGCAATATTTACGTTCATTTTTGCTGTTGATACATTCGATGTTTTAATATGTGGGTCGTATTTTGTGACTGTAACCGCAGCTATTTCGAAATGAGTTTCCATGGAATGTGTCGTTTTTTCACAGTGTTTAGACAAAGATAATTATCTAGATAAGATAAAAGATAAGATAAGATAAGATAATATCTTTTATCTTATCTAGATTAATTTCAGAAAATCGTCAAAATATCTTATCTTTATCTTATTTTTTACATGTTATCTTACCTTCTTTGAAAATAAATTGAGATAATTCTAAAATCAATCACTTAAAAATTTCAAAGGAATAGAAAAAATTGCCAATAGATAAAGAACGAAAAAAAAAGTTGCAAGAAGAAACGTTCAGAAATTGTAGAAAATATCAAAAAATCAATTTTATTTCGTGCAATTTGAGAATAAACAACGCAAAAAATCTATGGGTGAGATTGAGAGTGGAGTATGTTTTTTCTTCGATTTATATTTTTGAAAAGGCGAGTATGTTTTCTGATGATTCTGTTGGCGTTAAAGTAGAGTATGTTGTAGTACCGTCTAGCCTCCGCGGTCTCCATGGTTTTCGCGCAACTGATAAAAGATAACAACATGGTGTCTTCGGCAAAGTTGTAGTACTCGAGGTCTTCTATAACTAAGCTGAAGATAGTTATCTCTTATCAGTTACGCGCAAATCGCGCACATAAAAAAGCAAATTTTATATAGAACTTTTTTTTTCTTATCATTTTTCGCGCTTTTCGCGGAACTGATAAGAGATAAGAGATAACTGACTTCAGCAATGTTATAGAAGACCTTGAGTGCTACAACTTTGTCGAAGACACCAAGTTGTTATCTTTTATCAGTTCCGCGGAAACCGTGAAAAACCGCGAGGACCCGCAAAAAACGAACATACTCGCTTTTAACCATTTTTAAGTCGACAGAAACTTGCTCTTCTCTTTCGTAACAAAGTCAATGAAACATACACTACTCTCAATCTCACCCATAGAAATATCGAAAGAAATATTTTTTGAGATTTTTACCCATTTTTTTTAGTTTTTTCTTTAGAAAAAACAACCGAGAATTATCTCATTTTTTATCTAAAGATAATTGAAGAAAATATCTTATCTTCATCTAGATTAAAACACAAAAATTAGGTCTCATCTGGTTTTTATCTAGATAAAATTCATTTATCTAAATTAAACACTGTTTTTTTTTCAAACCTATTGTATGCAGCTTTGCAAGCGCTAAAGCGTTGACTTTACCGAAAAAAAAATGGGTTAGTCATGGATATATGATGGCATGACAAAGAAACCGACAGCCAAACTTCGTGCAACAAGCACAAAAAGTGCTTTTGTTTCTGCCTCGAATGTTCTCTTCAACCGTTCTCACATTCCCCGATGAGAGAGATGTGTATTTATGTTTTGCCATCGACGAGGTTTCTGTTTACCTTTTTCGTCTGATTCGGTAAACGAGAACTGACGAGGGAAAAAAACGTACACTCATGACCCATTCACACAAAATAAGCTGTATTTTTGCCATGCATAGATAAACATAGAATCTGAAACCGCATCCACCAATCGATCGATTTGCATTCACTAACTCTACCGAACCCATTATCAATTTACCTGTTACCGTGCTACCATCATGGGAATGTACATCGAAAAACACTTTTCAACTTGTCAAATATGTTGCTGATAGGTTTTTAATTGATAGGTTCTCGCACTGGCAACGGAACTTATCGGAAACCGCGTTCGTCGACGTCAACAATGAGCAAAACATATGTGCATATTCTTCTTCATTCCAGGGAAAATATACATTCTTATGCAAAGCCCATCCATCCCTATGGATGATGATGGTTGTTATCATGGGTCAAATGGAATCGCGATCGATTCAAAATTCCAGATGAATGAATATGGCCGGCTTTGAGAATGATGATTGAAAATGCCGTTCATAATGAATGACACGAAAATTTACATGTGTTCGATTTCATGAATGCGAAATAAAGTCTCAATGGAATTATGGATCTGTCTGACGAAAAGCCACAATGTGAACGAAATGTGTAAAGCTGATAAGTTATGTGGCCCGGCAACGGAATTCTTTGCGAAAAACTTCGTTTCATATGTGTCTACCTGGATAAAATCGCTATGGCGTAATGGGTGAAACAAAAAAAATTTGATTAATGAGTTGATGCAAATGCTCGGCTAATGGCAACATGCACATGTACTTCGTGGGAAAAACTGATTTAATTGCATGTCACTTTCGTTTATGCTTGCTTGGCAGCAGTTTTTTCTCCTCGCTTCCGGTAAAGGTGTGTTAATGAATTCCAATGGCATTTGTTTATTCAAACATGACGCCCACGCAATATCTTTGCCACTGATAATTTTTACAAATCATAAAAACACCATCAACGGCTCTATTGTTGTCATCAACAAACAGTGAATAGATAATACCCGTTTTTTTCAACGTAACACGGAATTCCAGGCCAAAAAATTCACAGCTGGAAAATGTGACAAAGGTACAACATACCATTCATTCGATGACGATGACCTCATTTCGTGTGAAAACCAATGCAAAATAAATTGAGCGTTCGATGCAAATTTGGAATGGGTTTTGTTGTGGACATTTATGAAATCCCAAATATGTCATTCTTGACACTCCATAATTCGTTCGAATCATAGCCAACAGCCCTCACCCATCCCACTACCCGAAATCCACGTGACGTGACACAATGCACATTATCGCGAGCGCACACAGCAATAACATCTCGCGCTCCACCATTTTTGTTTTCATATCGTTGATATTAATTTACACACGCCACAATGAATTCAGAACATTTCCATTTCCGTTGCATTTGTTCTATTTGTTCGGAGTCAAAGGAACACAGCATGCATGACGGTATGCGAATTCATTTATGCAGCACCACCTCATTCACTCCACACTGCGTTTTAATTAGCAATTTAATTTAATTATTTCAATAGCAGCATAACAATTTGTATTTGTTCGGTTTACGTTTTTGTGAATTGTATTTACATATTTTATTTAAATTCAATTTAACACACACACACACATTCTGTGGAGTGAATTAAATGAAGCGCTAGATTTTTGTGTATGTATGTATGTATGTGTGTACCATTATCAATATTTTAATTTCTGCTTTGTACAGCAAACTGACCGATGATCATTGTTTAACTCACAGAATTGTTTCAATGACCTATTCTGTGGTATTCGCAACTTTTAACATTTGATTTTTTCTTCCAACTGAAATTGAATGGAAATAATTACATTTTTTCCTATGCTTTATTTTACTTTTTTTGTACATGCCTATGGGCCAACTGTTATCAAAACATTAAACACCACTTGAGCGGAATAAAAATTAACAAGTCGAATAATTTCGAGCCATTGAACATACTGAACGGCTTTCAGTGAGAGAATTCACAAATCATAGTCGTGCATGACTCTGCATGAAGAGGACGTACGATATTTCTTTGTTTCTCTCTGTGATTGACGTTTTCAGCAAACAACTCGCACCCTTTTCAACGAGTTCCGATTCGAATCTATTTATAAATAGCAAGGATATGCGTCCATTATGATGAAATCGAATAATCATTCGATAGAATCCGGAAGATTTATCAAGTTGTTGGAGTATTGAATTTTGAGTCTTGAGTAAAATATTTGAGTTAAATCTTTGCATAAAATCGCACTTGACTAAAATCGTTTTCGAATTCAATGGAAAAAATTATGAATGTAAAATATTGAAATGTATGCAAGAGTTAGGCACATCATGAGTATATTAAATATATCCCATTTCAATTGAGTGGCTTTCGTTGTTCTTCTGCGCAGTATTCTACAGAAATGTATTCAATACATAATACGATTTGCTGCGATGTTCCTTGTTCAGAAGAGTTTTCACTTTGTCCTGTAAAGTGAGCTGTTGCCATGGATGTATTAGCCACTTAACCATATTTACTGGTCCAAAATTGATGCAAAATGTAAAAGTTTTTCAATTTCCTACACACCACAAATATTCGCAAGCGCACTAATGAACAACCGATAGCCTATGCCTGACAATCTGTTCATTGGGTAGCCATTTGTATTTGGTGTGTGCTTAGATTTTGTCGAAGCGACATACATACCATAGCTTGAACTTTTCCGTAAGTCAAAAGGTCATCAATTTAGGCATATTCTGGGTAAACAATTTTACTGACAAAATATACGGCTTAAACAACCAGAAACTAATGGATTTGTATTGTATTTTCTATAACCACTAGTACTGAGAGGGATACAGCGAAAGATAAAGGAAGAGAAGTAGAGTCAGATCCAATTATTGGTACTCTTTTCTCAAATTCCCTTTTATAAACTCGTATTTTTTCATAATATGCGGATCCAAATTTATTCCCATAGTTTGCATAGGAATTTGCGTCCAGAAACATGATAATTTCAGCACATCTGAATATGAAAGTATGTGCTCTTTGAATTTAATGAAAGATTCTGCGAATCATAGAGTCTAACCTCAAAAAAATGGTTTTGCACCTTTTGAAATTCGTCCATGAGCCAAAACTATCCTCATTTTGAAGAGTTGTGAAATGAAGAGCACTCACAAAAACCCGAATTGATTAAATGCAAATTAATGCGCTGCAGTGAAAACTTTGTTGATTCATATTCAAATTGTTGAAGCCGAGTCGACAACACACCGTCTGCAGTAAAACATAAAATTTTCATTAGTCAGTTGTCCGAGAGAGAGAGGGAGGGAGAGAGATGTTCTGTCATATCGCAAAATTACAAGCAATATTCAGAACAACATTGACGTGGACAGTGGATTCAATTTTCGAAATATGCCAAACAATTATGATTGCCGTTGAGAGGGATGGAGAGAGAGCTCTGTCAGTAGCAACCAAGCGTTAGCAACCGAAGAAGCTTGAACGACACGTAGGTTTTTCTATTTCCGGTATTGATCGATATAAAGGCGGGCTTCGTCGTGACCATGCCTTATTTCACACAAGTGGATGAAGTTTCTCCGTAGACGATCAATTATGTATGCATAAAATACATTCGACGTTATAGTATTGCGACGAAAATGTGAGCATTGCTTATGACATTTGTTTGAAACATACAATTTTTTGATAAAGTTCATAAATATTCATGGAGATTTTGACGTCTCGCCGTACTTCGATTTCACATCGATAGAGGTGTGGAAATTTTGAATTTCTTCATGAAAAAAAAGTCAGGCCACACACTCTCAGACGAAATCAATTAACATATTTTGAATTGAGCAATCGACCGAAATTTATTTCTGTATCAACTAAATGGTTGAGCTTGATAATAATCAAAATATCAGAATATTCCAAACAATTTTGATTGAAAGTTGGAATAAGTTCCAGAACCAATTAACCTCCGTTCATACAAACAATTTATTTAGATTTGTTTCTTGCGAATAAGCGTTCAATGCTTTCGAAGAGCACGACAAAAAAAACTTCAATTAAACCGGTGATCATTCAACTGCTTTCAGCATGCGGTTCAGATGCGATTCAATGTAGCGCACGATGACATATGGACAATGCATAATTTTCCATGTTTTGCCTTTTTCTCATGGCCGCTGTACAATTGCGACCAATATTAAGAAAATGAGCGCGGGCGAAAATGACCAGCAAGAATGAAACAAAAGTTGCACACAATATAAATGCTAATGCCGGGAAGTTAGGTGAGAACAACGAAAGCGGAATAAAAACAAGCGCACGAGAAAGATTTAATGAAATGAGGAATTAATGTACCATTTTTCCAAATGAGCGTTGTGTAAGCAAAAAAAAATGCGTGGCTTTGGTGCGCTTTTCCTCCATCCCCCCCTCAGACAGACCGTTCGAAACGAACATGATTTTTTTCTGGTCGCATAATTTTTGTGTTTTTCTTCCTTCATTTTTTTTCGTTGCTCGTCGTACTGAATGTTTAATTAGAAAATCATCGGTGGGTAGTGTTGAATTGTTTACGAAGGTATGGTAAAATTTGGATGATCTCGAATGGTTGCGTTGCTGTTTTTTTCCTTGTTTTGGGTGATTCATGCTTTGGATTCGGTTTTTTCTCTCTCTCTCCCTTCTCTCTGTCTGTAACAAAGAAAAAATGAGTGAGAAAAAAAACCAATTCTGATATACATTTTCGGGTGCATAGACTACTATAGTAGCCAAAAGTATTTTGCTCAGATTTTTTTTTCCATTCCATTGTGGCGCACACGTTTTGATTTCACATCGATGCGCGACTACTGCGACTGGGGTACGTGCGGTGCTGCTGTTGCTCGAAAGCTAGATGTGAAAATAATTACATGGTTTTTCGTTTTTCTTCTTTTCGTGTACATAATTATTATGTATGTGTGTGGGACCATTTTTTCTCTCTCTCGCTTTTTTTGGTGGCGGCGTTTTTGTAGCGTGTGCACTGTGCAGATTATAGTTGTTGAACATTTAATTTGGATTTCATTATATATGGACTGAAAGCGAAGTGAACGAGCAGAGAGAGAGAGAGAGAGAGAGAGAGAGAGAAAGAGAGAGAGAGAGAGAGAGAGAGTATGATGCAAAATAGAAAGGAAACAAAATCCATAAAATAGTTTTTGGTCGTTTCGTGTGTTTTCACTTCGTTGGCTGCTGCCATTTGCTACTCTGTTCGCTTTTCTCGATGTGTGTTTTTTTCAGCTGCTGTGCTATATATTCGACAACAATTTTTTTTTTCGTTTTCTTTGCTTCATCGTCGTTGTTTATATTTTTGAACATTTTTGTTTCAGTTTCCGATTGCTTTACTCCTTATTACGGACTTTCGTTGCTCTAAATACATTTTTTTTGTTTCGATATGAAATTGTTGCTCTCTGCAAAGGCACAAATTTAATATTCGCCTTTTGCCGAAACGAACAAAATATCGAGTGACGAAAAAAAAACGTACGGTACTGACTAAATTCATGCCCATGCGCGCCGGCCCGAAAGAGAACACATCACAGGCAAATGAATGAAGGATAAAACATCAACGCTTTCCGGAACGTTGTCAAAAAAATGTTTTGAAGTGTTATTAAAAATGCGAGAGCTTTTGGCGATAAGAATTTTTGTTGCTCCGGCTACGATACACACACACACTACAAAGTTTGTGTATGGAAAACATGAGAGACTGCCGGTTTTTCGTGTTTATTTCAAATGCCAGCGATTTGGATTCGGTTTTCAGAGCTGTGAAGTGTTTGTGTGTGTTTGCTGTGCAGTGTGCATGATCGTGGTCGTACTTTATGATTAGTTTTATTTCAAACACTCTGGAATTGCATTGAACATGTTTCTTTCATTTGCGTCTTTCCGCTTTCGCGTTTCTTCAGCTGTATGCATTTCACTCGGTTCGTCTCTTTCTCTCTCACATTTCTCTCGCCCACTCAGTCGCGATCTTCCAATCTCTGTCCTCTCTCTTACTCAATCTCTTTTCTCTACTCTTCTTCTTTCTTCTCTCTCTCTCTCTCTCTCTCACTCACTATCATTCTCACAAAACACATTCCATATTCATTTTATTGCATTTTAGAGAGTTTTCGTGCTTTTAATATTCAGTGAATGTCATCAAGTAGTAGTCGCTTTTCGTTATGCATTTGACATAGTTTTCTTGATCCTCCACTTCCTCCTCCTCTTCCATTTAACGCTTTTGTAACATTTCATGTTCGTTATTAAATTCTTTGAGTTCGTATTGTGCAAAGTTAGTTTTCGGTCCAGTTTGTGTGATGTGTTTTTTTCTTCTGTCGCTCTCTCTCACACACACACACACACATACACACTCTCGAACTATCTCTGCAGTGCTAAACTTCGTGTGCATTGTTTGATGCCATTTACCACATTAATATGTACGCTACTTATATGACATTTATTTCATTCGTTTCACAAATGCATTCAAAATGCGCATACACACAATTTTCCGGCTGAATTTGATCACAGTCAGTTCAAATCATAAGTTACAATGACATGTCACTTTCATCGTACCTTGCACTTTTGATTTCTCGGAAAAGTAAACACAATTTCAACGGCCAGACACATGAAATTCCCCATTCGTTGACACATTCATCACGTAAAATAGTGAACAGCAACAGCAGCAGGAAAAAAAAACACAACGAAAAATGTCTTTTTTCTCTCTCTCCCTCGCTCTCTCGCTCTCTCTCTCGCTATTTCCGTCGAAACAAAATAAAAGTGAGATTTGTTTAAAAGTTATTCCATGTTCTTTTTGCTACTTAAGACTTCCGAGACAATAGTGGTGCTAAGTGCGAAAAGGAATAAAGTGAAATTTGTGCCAGTGCAACAACAACAGCAACAATAATAACCGGCAGAAGAAAAAAAAAAACGTAGAAAAAACTTGGAACAAATTACAATTGCAGTTGACTGAGTTGAGCGTCAAGTTTGAAACTATATATGTTTTCTCTTTCTGTCTCTGCGCTCCACTGCAATGATAGAGATTCTGTGCAAATAATTTGAAGCGAGAGATGCAAATGATGACAAATAAATTCTTAAATGAAAAAGCGCTAACATTTCAAAAATGATATTTCGCTTAACAGATCCAACAAAGAAGATAAAACTGTTTCTCTTTCTCTTTTTTTGTTGTTGTTTTATTGTAGAATATAAAGCGCCACGATCAAGGCATTTATCGATGTCGTGTGGATTTTCGAACGAGCCAGACACAGAGTTTCCGCTACAATTTAACCATTATAAGTAAGTACATTCAAGTTTAATTTTCTAAGGTCAAATATGGATTGAGGGGAACGAGGCAACAATCCCTCAGAGCAACAACAACAGCAATAATAGCACAAAATCAATAAAGTCATACTGTCTCTATACTGATGGAACGATTCATCTCTAATCAAATTTTCTACTCAAGAAATTTGCACAAACAACAAACAAGCGAAGTTGCCCATCAACTTTCTAAGATTATAAAATGGCTCGGAGGCAAGGAAAAATCATCAATAATATCCGTTTTTCTCGCTCAGACCAATTTCCGGCGTCATCGTATAAACTTCGCGAAAATCGTAATTCCGGCATGAACACAGGAAGAAAGAGAAGCATTTTAGACGAGCAAGCGGCGACAATAAACGCAATAAATTAATTTTTATGGCAAAAAGTATGCGATGCTATTTTTAAAAGGTGGAAATGTATCCAGTGCCACATTCACCACCGTTCATTATGTCCCTTCACTCGCTTCATTAATAATCCATCGTTTTTTCGACAGCAAAAAATACGCATGCCGAGAAGCTATTTGCGTACTTGATAATATTAATTTCATTCACTTGGGTAAGCGTATACGGGGAATTGGTCAAATATTTGCCCACGTACTGTTCAAATAGAAAGCATCTTAGAAATTTCGACATCGAGCGATATGATACCGGTTAAATTTTGGCACACAATGTATGATGATTCGATTAAATGGCAGAGAATGACCGAACCATTCCCCGAAAGCCAATAAAGCCGCTGCTCGACTTTTCGTATTGACGTTTGTGACGCATTCAAGCGTACTAGCACACACATACTGATTTCGACCATGAGCTAGAGAGAAAGAGAAGAAAAGAGAAATGGAGATAGCGAGTGGGCATGAAATTAATTTTCCGTAAATATTATAGTTTTAATCTTCTTAAGTCCCAACTGACGTAGCAGCGCCATTCAACCGAAACAAGACAATCTTCGTGAGCTTGCTCTCTTTCGAATGGACTGAAACAACAAAATGAATGTTACCAATGCTTCCTACGTGTTCCCCTCTCGCTCTCTGTGCCATTGAAAAATCTTCGAAATTTCTTCCGCGCTCTGACTAATATGTGCGGTGCGACTGGTTTAAGATGCCGTTGCTATTGTATTGCTGGAATTGTTTTCGGAAGAAGCTTTTCCTTCTTCTTTTTTCATTGTTTTGAAGGACTCGCAGCCTTGAGTGAAGCACATCGATTAACATTCTATCCAAAAATGGTGCGAGATGAATACGGAAACTGTTCGTCTAACAGCAGCGAAGCGACAAACCGAAGGAATCATGATTGAGCCATCCAAAGGCGAAATTTTGAAACGTGTAATGAATAGTTGGTATTATTTCGCCTGTCTTCACAGAAAACCAACCTCCTCCCTACCCATTTTGGATTTCGATATGTGTGTGTGTGTGTATGGCAGAGCAGACAAACGCGGCGGCGGCGGCACTGCTCTCGTCTTTTCAATATGCAATATCATGTTCGGGGGCGTGTGAAAGAAAACTTATGATGCGCTTTATTACGTACGATAAATTTTCTTTTGCCATTTGTCTTTCTGGTGTATAAGTGATTTAATTTAACAAGAAATATTGCTATTAAAACGGCTGTAGTACTTGAGCTGTCTTGAGAGCGAGTGTTGAGCAAATATGTGTTCAGCTGTGTGTGTGTATATGTGTGATGTGCATTTTGGTTGCTTGCTTCCCATCTCAAATATGTATATACTCAGCTCGAATGTGTACGAGAGTCAATTACACATTGTGCAATCAGCTTTCGCAATGTATCATCAGCATAAATGGAATGTGTGTGTGTGTGTGTGTGTGTGTGTGTGGCTTGACTTTAATTCAAATATGCAATTTAGTCAGAGAATCTATATCGATTCTCTGTCGCTTCGTACAACACGAACATAGTGCATACCATTCAATTTTAATTTAGTTTCCAAATTTATGTCAATATTTGCATTCTCGTTCATTTATTCGATTTCAATGGAGAGTTTTGAATAATTGAATCGCTTCATTCACACTTGGAAATTGAGTCAAAAATGTAATTGTTCTGAAAATGGTTTCCGAGAAAATGGTCACAAAACATGCCGGAACAATGAAGGTGTTGCTGTTTGCCATTGTTTGATCGAAAAGGTGAAAATTCATTTTGTTTAGTGTTTTTTCGACGTGCGACAGAGGGACCGAGGGTGCGAGTGAAAAGACAGAGAAGGAAAAGTACGAAGTAAAAACAACTTTGTGCATTTATTATCGTCCAAAACACACATAACCATGTTTTTGACAAGCGTCGACCTCTTTGACGCTCCAAAGAAAATAAAGTGTGTTGAAGCTTTTGTTGAAGCTCCGGAATTGTTATTTGTTGAATGTGCTATTTTCAACTGAGTTTTCCATTGTGTACAAGAGAATATTGTTTCCGAGTTTTTCGGTTTCTCGAAATGCCTGTGTTGCAAATAAATTTCCTCTTTAGCTCAAAACAATTCCAACTAATTGGACAAATACTCCCTAGTTGCGAGCTCTATTGTGACGATTTAGTGGAAGGTGTTTTATTTTCGAATTGAAATCACTTCATTTTAATTTAATCTCAATTATTCAAACTAATTGCACCATGTTCAACTGGACATTTCCCATGCATTTCAAATCCAATTGCTAAACGGACGAGAAATTCCAAATAAAATGTTTTCATTTTGGTTTGACACAACACAAATACTCATAATTTTGTTGTCCAACAAGATCAACCCGTAGAATGTCACACGCCACATCAGAGCAAAATTTTTTGAAAAGGGCTGACATAATCCTGATTTATGCCTCGGACAAATTCTGATTCAATTAAAGTCTTGGTGCGGCTTCTATTTGGTGCTATCCATCTTCCATCACCTTTTTGCATAATTCATGATTTTCGGTAAGATTATTGGCCGTTAATTTAATGTTCTTGGCTGTTGACTGTGCAACAGCAGCATCAGCAGCATCAGCAGCAGTAGCATAATTTTCAACACATTAAATTGTAATCCGCCTAACTTAAACATTCATTACAACGAAGAAAAGGTTGTTGCTGCCATAACTTCTGCTCACAAAATGGTTTTTTCTTCGTGTTTGTGACAGGTGGTAGAGCTACAACATGTTTATCCATAATCTCATTGTGGGATCTGCTGTTAGGCATACAAAACCTTTGAATTGACTCATCCTAAATTCAAATTTATTCCACTAAATGGTCATTAAAAAGCCAAAAAAAAGTGGTCAGAGTGGAAAATGATCCATTTTTCAAAGTTGAAAATCAATAATTCACTATAAAGTAACTCTACTTTATATGTACGTCCTCAATATTTCGAATCGAATGCCTGCTATTTTTACGTGCCACGCTGTTTATTCCAATGGTCACAATTTCAATTTCATTGTCCAACATCATTTTTTATCCAACTTTTTTCGACCGTACGCAATTGACGCGGCGATTTTTTCCCGTCCTCTGGTATCAAGTGATTGTTTTATTCAATTTACTCGTTTGAAGTGAATGGACACGGAAATTATGTGTTTATTTGCCTTTGGATTAGTTTCATGGGCGTTATTGGGGTAAATGATGTTTGCTCTGGATATAATTGATATTTACCATTTGGTCTAATCGATTGGTTTACCTCAAAGTAAGCAACTTATTAATTGTTGTTCGAAAAAGAGAGTATAATTTCTTATAGACAATCATTCATCAACCCCGCTTAATATCCATTATTCGAATGTAGGCGGTAATTTGATGTGTACACGGGACGAGCACCGAGACTGACTACTTTTTTCAATCGGCCTAATTAAATTAAACGTTAAATTAGCGGTTCAATTAGTCAAACAAAATTGATATTTTTGTTGCTATTTGGTATCAGACCGTGACCACACCACTTTTAATGATCGGTGGTAACATGATTTTGGTTTCGGATAACCGAGAATGGTTATTATGAATGAATTATTATTGTTTCGATTGTTTAAATTAATTTTTAATGTTTCACTAGAAATGGAATGCGGTTATAGTGGTGTACACTATAGTTTGATACCACGATGAATAATCCATTTGAGGCATTGTGAATTGTGTCTCTTTAATCGTAGTCTCGATTTTACCGCAAATCACATTCACGAGGAAATTAAGCATATTCCATAAAATTATTATTATTTCACGGAAATTACACATCATCCCATTTATTGGCTGCACATGGAAATTACCAAGTGTTCGATTTTATTGATAATTTTTGGCAACACAACATTTTACAAACTGATGCAAAGCGTGCAGAAAAAAAATTTCATTAAGATTGTAATTATTTGATTTCAACGCTCAATGGATATTACAATGGGCTATGAATCTTAGCCAGCACAAAGGCTCTCGGTTATATTGCATCAATAAATCGTGGACACAATGCGATACGCCGTTTTATTGGCAGCGAACAGCATCAGATAGTTTTTTTTTTGCTCGAACATTTTCAGTCGTTTCGAAAGAAATATGAATTAATATTTGAAGAATCTGTAGCAAAAATCGAACACCATAAAATTACTTAGGGTGATACAAGCAACATAATATTGCTATGTGCAAAATGCATTAAATAAGCGCATGAAAGAAGATCTCATTTCTTGATAAACAACCGAATACAATGGTGATGCCAGCCCTTATTGCACAACAACGTTTCACCATTTCAGAATCAATAATAATGTTTCGACACAAATAAGCCATAACCCATTTAGCGAGAAAACCAATTGAAGGCATTGTCGTATCTTCATCGCTTGAAGATTCATAACAATGCCTGAACGTAATGAATGTGGAGTGAAGAGAAAAACAACACTCTCTAAATTTTCAATTTTCAAACCTTATTTGGTGAAAGCAGTAAAAAGGAGCCGAAAATCATCGATGATAGAGATATGTACCACCAGCAACAACAACAACATACGAATGCTGGATATAATACAACATGACTATGTAACGCCGAATGCCTTTTTGGAATACTGCCGCTTCATGAACAAATTAAAT